TGTATAAGCTTAGGTGCAGACTGCCCAACTTACTTATGCATAATTAGGCGACGCGTACAGAAAAAGCACAATATTTGAATTGAAATAGCCTAAATTTTCCAAAATTCCTTAAAGGACAGGTTCGGTACTCCAGATTTTCTTTTAGATGAGTCTTAAAAGATTGTTGAGTTCGTTCGCTTGAAGATTTCGGCAGATATGGGTGAGAAACATGAAGGTCGAAAGGGAAAACAGCATTAGGTTTCTTACTTTTGTAAAGAGTGCACTCATAAAGGCCCTGAGAGCGGATATACTGGGTTTACTAGCATAAATCCAACAGCAAAAAACCGCCTACTTCATTAAATCTGCCTTTTCATCGTGAGCGTTAACAAGGTACCTTTGACATTCATAAGTATGTGAATACCAGCAAGTGTGAAAAAATGATGATTGCCACGAAACTAGTGCTGCATATGTTTTGACCGCCATCATGATAGTAAGGTATACACAAAAATGATTTCTTATAGTCAAAATGACCGATGGTGTGTGTCGTAGCCCTTTTTAGATCAAGAGTCCTCACCGGAGTCCAAACTGGGTGCAGTTGGGCGACGGAGAAAAGCCGCGACCTCAAGCGGCTTGAGCCAAAGGTCTACGGAGTTTGGTAGTGTGATTGATGCAGAAGTTTTAACCATATAAGACAATTTGGACCATGGTACGATAACGAGCCCGGGTTCACGTGCCGAGCTTTTAATACAAAAACCTAACTACAATCACCGAGGAACCTATCATGGGAATCAAATAAATGAGCAGTGTAACAAATTAGAGTTACATCTTCTATCCTCAAATAAGTTGGGAGAATAAAGCAACATGTTAACTATCCGATGCATGCAGATTTTAACTATAGACGCATATGCATAAAATGTAGAAGCGAGGTTATAACACTTACTGCTTTTCCAAGGGGCTCATTTTTCGCACTTTTAGGGCAGATCCGCCAGGAGAAAGGCTACCCACGCTTGAATAGGGCCCCAGACTCTTGAGCTTCTTCTTGACTACCCTATCAAGGCTCACGGCATCCCGGTAGACTTGTGAGTTTTCCTCATTGTAGTGCTTTGCGTTGTTGAACATGAGCCGCAAATCGGCCACCATTGCTTGGTGGGTAGAATACTAGCCGGGCGGGATAAATAAAACACTATCAGCAGTGAAGCGAGCAGGAGAACCAATTATCCAGCAAAAACCAGGGGGAAATTATAATCTTACCCGGTTACTATCCATGCGTTCCTTGATCATTGTCAAGTCAATCGGTTCAGTAATTACAGTATAGTAGTCTGGGTATTCTTCCTTTGACGGAAGTACCATGAAAGTGTCACGGGGATAGTGGCCGTTCTCCTAACAAAGAGGAAATAAAGTACACTCTAAAGAACACAAAATAACAGAGATAAATACAACAGGCATTAGAAGTGTCTATGGCACGCAAAGCTGATCGTTCATGTAGCCAGTAACGCTAAGATATATACCCACAAAAAATGCAGTACGGTGGC